TGTCTGGGGAATGTAAGAGGCCCAGAACTCCTGGCCCAGCAAATCTGTCTATTGGAGAGTCCTAAAAAAACTAATTTAAAGTGTGCTGTTAAGTACTAAAAGTAACCATGCAGTCCCTAAAATCCAGGACTGTCTGCTATCACTTTTGTGGAGAAGCATTTCTGTAGCATAATGCCAAAGGAGAAAGAGCATCTTTCAGAGGCAGATTTTTTGCCCAGAGCAGATGGAAGCAACAGCCTTCGGTTGCAAACAGAAGCCTAACAGCAATAGAGGACATGACCGTGTAGAAACAGTGGCACAGATAAAGCTGATGATGCTTTCGAGGCAAAACAGGAATTCCTCGTGATGGGAATGTGGAATAACCAGCAAGGGATCAAGAACTTTCTCATGAAGCGTGAGTCAATCATCTACACACACATCCTCCTACGCTAGCTGACCGTGTCTTTTCTTAATATCCACTGTAAAGTTTCATGTGTTCACACATACTATGTTGAACCGCGTGAACATACTGTATTTCCAGAAATGTTTTCTGCTCAACTTATGTTCTACTGTGAAAATGCATCGATAATTGAACGCTGTGCAATAACCAAGATTTGTAACCTTGTTAGTGAAGTCTGACAAGAATGACATTAAAAGAAACTGTGACAATGTCATTTTTGAATTGTTTAGGCTTTTCTTTTTTTTAACCTCTTAGGTTGTGTAGAAGGTAGGATAAGACAGAAACACGTGGGGAAAGTGCCCTTACTGCTGTAAACAACTGAGCTATAGGTGCTGGTGTTGGAGCCACAGAATTTGTTTCTATACTACACTATGTCTGTCTGTTCCACATATACTCCATACCTACAAAGGACCAAGGTTGTCACACAACTTGTTTTGATGATCAGTGTTTATCGCAAACATATCTCGACTGTCTTACCAGACAGTCCTGAGCCCAACAGCTCCAGTCCAAAGGCGCAGAGTCATGCTTGCAAGACTGTGCCCATATTAGTAAGCCTGGCAGAGAGCCTCTGAACAAATCAAGTTCTTGAGCTTCCCGGGAGCAGCTGATGACGGCATCATGTTTATGCATTTCTTTGTCAACCATGTGAGACAAGCAAGCTTGTGAGCAGCTCCCTGTGCCCTCTATGTTCATGCCCTTCTGGGACCTTCAAGGAGGCTTGCACAGAGGGATGCATTACACTAGGCTGTCCCAGCCATCTGGCATGTTTCTGGGTGAGCAAACAGGTTGGCAAGTTTTCTCTTGCCGACACAGTTACCAGAGGGATATGCATGCCTAGCCTGGCTTCAGGGAATCCAGCAGATCCTCCAGCACCTTAAGTATCCCTCTGGGTACATGGCAAAGGGACTTACTGAAGTTAAAGAAGGAGCATCAGGCTCTATTAATTCTAAGGATTTGATCTCCATTGCTTAAAAAGGAAGTTTAGGTATGTAGTTCACAGGTAGTTACCTACATTTCATAGCTAAATTTAGATACCTACAATCTGGAGCTGAATTACTTTCCATATCTCCCTTCACAGCTCATGACCTGGCAAAAAAATACTCAGCCAGAAGCATCTTCTCAAACTCTTTGACCTCCTTTAATTTCATTTTTTTTCTGCTGGTCTGAAACAGCCCTTACACACCTCCACAATTAGGTCATCTTTGTGCTTTGTCACTTCGACCTCCAGTTCTGAGTCCTTTTACTCATACTGAATAGTCTCAGTGCCTTTTTGTGAGAGCAAAATCACATGAAGAAAAAAAAATGTGTGTGAGAGATGTGAGATTTTGGAAGCCCAGAATGACCCCAAGTGATATACGGCCAGCACTACACACATGAGATGTGCATAGACTGATGTACCAATAGTCCTCCTTACCATCTTTGAGATCCTAGAATCACTGGAGAGTAGTTAAGTAGAAACCAAAAACAGAAAGGAAGAAGGGGCAGCTCTGAACAGAGTCAGGGAAACACATGAGGAAACACAGACTTGACTGAAGAACTAATAACCTCAAACACTGTTAAACCAGACAGACATTATTTTTCCTTCTAACATTTACTGCAATGATATTACTCTGTAATGCTTTTGTCTTGAAGTAACTTGGTGCTTTCGAAAGGTGATTGAGCCACTTGCGTAACCACAATGATTTGCAACAGGGCAGCAGCTTTAAGAAATTCAGCCAAGGGGGAGAGAAGTAGGTGCCTGCTTTTAGAAAAAAAAAAAAAAAAAGAAGAAGAAGAAGAAACTAAGGTCTCAGACTTGACCCAGAGGTGTCAGAAGGATAGTTAAGCCCAGACACTTTTTGTCTCCTCAGCAAATTTGATAATGCTGCTTTTGAACCTGATAAATGCAGGGTGGATTAAGACTCTGTGTGCACAGCTGCAAATAAAAAAGCATCAGGTTTTATCTTGAAAAAATGTCATTCCACTGCTTTTCCTAACCTGCAAACTCATGCTTCCCCTTCCCATCACACAGTTTCTCTGTAGAGAGAAGTCCTGAATGCCTGAATAGGTGAGGAAGTCTGTTAAATACTTTTTAGGCTGCTAAAGCCTTAAAAAATTGTGCCATTTCAGTTGCCAGAATAGGTGCGAAACCAGTTACGAGAGGCCATCGGGAGGTGACTTCTTGTCTACGCAAAGGAAATCTTTCTGCTTCTTGTGACAGATGAACTGATAAGCGGCTGGATGGGGACTGCGAAGGTGGAAACCTGCCACACCAACATATCTCAGAGACCAGATGGAATTTTTAGTGAGCAAAATGTGTATTTTATTTCTCCCTAGGAGTGGATCAGATAAGTTCAGCAATAATCTGGTTTCCGTGTAATGGGGGGAAGCCTTTGCAGCCACTTGGAAGGTGGTGCCTTCAAAGACGTTTTTACAGCAGGTAACTCACCAGCAGGCAGCAGAGCAGCAGGCAGCTAGCACGCTGTTTCGCTGGCACTCTGAGGAGACCTGCAGACCTGCGGGTGTATGTGTGGTAACGCACTGTAAACCTCAAGGAGTGTTTGGGGCTTGGCTCCCGGCTGTGCGGTGCCTGCTCCACTGCAAGGGGCCCCCTCACGTTCAACACACCACACGCGGAAACACTTTTCCAGAGAAAACGCAGCGTGAGGAATGAAGTAGGGCCTGCAGTGGGGCAAGGAAGTGTTCAGGAGAAAAGGAGAGTGCGGATGTGCTCAGAGGTTCTCTTCAAGGTAATAGGATGTAAATTTAAAGAAGGGGTAAGGTAAGTTCAACAACTCTGTGTCCTAACTTGGGGAGTGGTAGTAAGTGAGAAGGGTTAACAGGAATCACAGAATCACAGCATGGTTGAGGTTGGAAGGACCTCTAGAAATTATCTAGTCCAACCTCCCCGCTCTAGCAGGGACACCTAGAGCTCGTGGCACAGGGTGGCATCCAGGCGGGTTTGGAAGATCTCTAGAGAAAGAGACTCCACAACCTCTCTTGGCAGCCTGTTCCAGGGCTCTGTCACCCCCACAGTAAAGAAGTTCTTCCTCATATTGAGATTAAGCTTCCTGTGTTTCAACTTACACGCGTTACCGCTCATCCTGTCACCGGCCACCACCAAGAAGAGCCTGGCACCATCCTCCCTACAGTCACACCTCAGGTACTTGAACATACTGACCAAATCTCCTCTCAGTCTTCTCCAGACTACACAGGCCCAGCTCACTTAATCTTTCCTCATACGATAGATGCTCCAGTCCCTTAATCATCTTCGTGGCTCTCCACTGGACCCTCTCTAGAAGCTCAATGTCCTTCTTGTACTGGGGAGCCCAGAACTGCACACAGTACTCCAGGTGCGGCCTCACCAGAGCTGAGTAGAGGAGGGAAAGGAAGGTAAAAAGGGAGCGTGGAGTTAGTGTGAGGTAGGTTAGTGTGACAGGAGCGCAGGAGGCACTGCTAAAAGGGTAAGTTGTGGTCTGCCCACCAGTTTGGTGGCACTTTTGAGAAGTTTATTTTCCTCACATGGGAGATGTGCTTCTCTGCAAAATACCATGGGGCAAATGAAGTAATTTAAAACTGCTACAGGTTATTTGGGTCTTGTCTGTCAGAACTATGTGCTGTTTTAATTATCATGACAGAACTAAAGCAATACAATTCCCCTACTAACTCTATTTCTTATTATGTCTACAGTTCTATATCTATAAAGGTGCTTTATACTGGGGCAGCTATTCCCATACAGCAAGAAAAAATTGTCATCCTGCTGGATCATCTTTATAACAGCATAGTTACATCCACCCTAGAACTCCTATCCTATTTTGCCTTTTATTTTTACATGACCTTCCCTTCCCCCAGTGGGATTAATTAGACCAGTAAAACCTGCAGAGCTGGCCTTGGCATTAATAAAATGAATCGTTGCTACCCATGCATGGATACAGCTGTGGCAACAACAGAAAGAAATAATCTACATGCATAAATGCTGACTTTTAAGGGGAGGATGCTATAATCAAACTCAGGTGTATGTATTAAATTTTAACACTTTTATATCAAAAAAGCAGGTATATTAAGGACTAGAGTAGATTTTTCACATATGAGACCTTCGGACATATGAACAGCTCTCATAGCGAGAAAAGAAAATTAAATGTTTTCCGTTGGCCAACAGGATTATGGAGGAAACTAGAAGCAACTAGAGGTAAAGATATTACCCACGGCATCCTGTGATCTAACTGCAAACGCAAGGTGCAAATGGAAGGTGCGGCTGAGAAAATAACAATTAGAAACAAGTAGCAATTAGGAACAATAGCAAACAGAAACATTCTCTTTATTTTATAATATGTTTTGTGTTTCCTTGGTTTCTGCTTTTTTTTTTCATTATTAACGACAACAACCACAACAACAAAATTACCATCTTTTCAGAACAAAATTTATCTATCATGGGGTTCAGCAAATGTTATTACACTAAAAATATCTAGGATTGATAGTATCTTTACCCCTTTTATATAAAAACGAACAATTATAAGGAGCTGTAGGAACTGCGCCACGACGGAGCAGTTAATCTGGTCTGGGTGTGCTTGTTCCCGCCTACAGGTCCCTCCTTCGCCACCGTGACATTCATGATGAGCAGAGTAGCACCATAAGCTAAAGCAAGCCCAAGTGTGCTGATCATTTGGTAGTTGCTTGTCGTAATTGCTTGCCTCTGTGCTCTCTCTTGAATGCCATAGTGCACCGAAGAGCAGTGACACGAGTAGCGACACGGCTTCAGGTCATCTAATTCTCTTTTCAGGTCCTCTACAGCCTATTGAAACATTAAAAATATCAGACTAAAATTTATAGTATGTAAAAACCCTTTTAAACCCTTTTGTGTGTGTTCTTATCTTGGCATAATATTTCGTATAGAACATGCTCTTTCCAGTTTAATGACAATAACTTCTGACCCCTTATTTTTTTTTTATCTTAACATCTACACTACTACGGCCTCCCTATTACCTCCCTCAAACCCATCTCCTACCATCTGTCTAGGTAAGCATGCAATTACGTCAAGACTGTCCACTTCTTCTTTTGCATTGGGGAAAAGTGTTTTAACATTCCCATTCTAATAACAACAACAACAAAATAAATCTTAAGACATACTCTATGGGCAGTTTAATCAAGGCTAGTAATTACTTTTGATATCTTTCATTCATTCACTCTATGTGAATGTTAATCCGATCTAAAGTTTTAATCTTCTGCCTCTTGGAGTGGTTTGGGTAGCCATGAGTGCACCAGTTATCTACTGAATGGCAACATCTCAAACTTTAGCACTCACCAGGTACAAAGTAATCAAAACCCAGCGTATTGCAAACAAAGATTTGCAGGAAGTTGCAGAAGAGAGCAAGAGACCACAGTGGTCACTATTTCTAGGTCTTCACCTAAAGGCATTCAGGTCCAGACCTCACCCTGCCTATATATATATAAATATATGTATACTTCCTGTACCCAGGAAGCATCTACTTTCACCATCTGAATGCTGCCATCTATTAATACTATCCAAAAAAAAAAAAAAGCATTCTTCTTTCTGTGTCTCTTCCAGACATTAAATCAGTGCTAGAGTGACAGAAATCCACAGTCTTCAACCTTTCAGTTGGAATCAAAACATGTCTGCAAGACATTCAGTATTTAAAACACTGGTAACTCTTTTCCTTGGGCTAAAACTCCTGTACAAGCTACATGAGATCAGTGGTCAGATCTTGCATTTGGGCTGCTGCACCATCAGGAGCAAAGGTAAAAACGAAAAAAGCCAGACGGGCCTGCATGAACACAAGACGAACGTCACTGACCTGGTATTGCCTTTAAAATCATACCCAGCTTTCCAAAAGTCAAGTTAATACCTGACAGTAAACTCGCCAGGCACCCAAGTCGGGTAGCTGGGTCACTGTTCAAGCTGGATTGCCAACAGCTCGGGCTGCCTGGCCTCAAGCTCGCAGGCAGCACGGCTCTTCAAAGTGACACCTCCAGAAGCAAAAAATCCAATGGGTCCAGGTGAACCCGGCAGGTCTTTTTGACAGTGTCCACCTTTATTTAAAGAGGAATAGTAAAGGAAAAATGTGGGTTTTTTTTCACCCTATCAAAATATCAACTGACTAAATCATCAACGTGTTACTTCTGTAATCACACTGGAAGTTGTCAAGAATGGTGATTAATAATCTTTGCTTGAATTACCTATGAGTCTAGGACAGAAAGGAAAACAGTTTCAGCCTTAATGTTACAGTTTCAGCCTTAATGTTACTGATCTCTTGCGCATCCAACCTCATTAGTTTTTCTTGGGCAGCCTTCCATTTTGATTTATTGTGCCGATTAAATAGCTGCTTTAGTACCGGGCGGTGACCATGAGCTGGTATTCCCACCGACTGCGGCACGAGCAACAGCAAACAGTAGGGGAATACTGCTGCGAAACGACGTGTATCTGAGAAGTATAAACAGCAGCGCAGGAAACGAACTGCACTCATAAAGCAACGAGGCGCGCTCACAAACGCCTGGTGGGATGGAGGGGAGCGGTGTGTCAGGGCAGTAAAGAAGTAAAATAATAGTTAAAAAGTAAAATAAATAATAATAATAAATAAATAAAAATAAACAAAAACAGCAAATAAAAACTGTTAATAAAATATTATAAATAAATAAATAAGGAAATAAAATAATT